CGGACGGACGGACGGTACGGACGGACGGTACGGACGGACGGACGGACGGACGGACGGACGACGAGACGAGNGAGGNGGNGGAGAGAGAGAGAGGGGCACAGGTGAGCAAGCAGGCCGTCGTGTCCTGTCCTGCCCTGCCCTGCCCGCCCTGCCTGCGGGGCGATTTTTCCCTCCACCTTCGGCTGCTCCGACGGAGGACCCTGGTTGGCCAATCGAAGCCGGCCGGCCCGTCCGCCCGTCCGCCCGTTCGCCCTTCCGCCCTTCGGCCCTTCCGCGGCGCCGCGGCTTGGCCGAGTTCGATTGACATCATGCAGCTGCGTCGGCCGCTTGCCTGCTGCCTTCGGCCCGCTTCCGCTTTCGGCCCGAGGGGCTGGGCCCACTCACCACAGGCCTGCTTCGGACTTGGCATCCGAACGCCAGACCTGCTCTTGCTTCTTACCTCCGTGCAGACCAGAAGACGGTAGTTACGGTCCCGATGCCATCCTCTCCTCGCTGCGCTGTTCGCCCTCTGCTCTGGCTGGGCGCATCCAGGCCTGGTCATTGCACTACTACTGCGGCTGCGAGTACAGCCGGTTGAGCATGTCGCGCATCTCGAGGCGCGCCTTTCGCCGCTGCGGGGCGACGGCGGCAAACGTCTCGAGCGCAGACGACGGTGGCATCACGACGTCGCGCAGCCCCGTCACCATCTCGACGTCTTTACGCTGCGGCATGCGCCGCCCTTGTTGACCTTCTCCGTCATCGGCGTCGGCGCCGGCCCGCGCTCCGCCCCGCACCTCGTCGAGCGGAAAGGCGAGCGTGAACAGCGCATCGTTGGTCAGCCGCCGCGTGCCGTTGGGCGCCTCGGCCTCGGCCAGCACGTACACCTCGCACGACTGCCGGAACGAGCGCACCGCAATCGCCGTAAAGCTCATAACCCTGGCCGTGCGGCGATGCAATCGGGCCATCAGTCCAGGCAGAGGGGATGGGGAAGAAGTCGGGTGGGGTCAGCTGCGTTTGCGGTCAAGCTCGCCCTGCTGTCGCCGGCCCGCATCTCAACGTCCAACGGGCTACTCACTCGCCGATGCCCACGGCCTGCTCGAATTCGAGCCCGTCGAGCCCGACCGTGCTCCACCGCCGCCCACGCCCGACGTGCCGCACCGCCAGCAGCGCGGCCTCCTCCATCCAGTCCATCAGCTGCCCACCAAACAGCACAGAAACGCTGTTGGTGTGCTCAGGGAACACGAGGTGCAGCGTGCGCGCGACCGTCTTGCCCACGTCAATCGGCCGCGCCACCTCGTCGTTCCGGCCATGACCACGGCGAGCCCTGGCTGCGCTCGCGCCCGCGCTCGTGTCCGCCTCGGCCCTCTGCGACGACGGCGCGGGCGGGTAGGTTGACGACGAGACTTTTTGTCGCTCGGCCGGCTTCTTTGCCGTCGCCTCGCCCAGAGCCTCGCCGTCGCTGTCAAAGCCGCTGCTGCCACCGCGCAGGGGAGAAAAGACCGACTTCTTGCGCTCCAGGGCAGACTTGGCCGGAGTTGGCTGGGCCACCGTCCCTGCAGCGGCAGCATCAGCAGTAGCACCAGCGCCAGCAGTAGCACCTGCCGACGACGAGGCGTGCGCTGCTTTTGGCTCCCTGCCGCTGCCGCCGCTCGGCTGCAGTTCCAACGTCGCAGTCGCCGCTTCCCCCGTCGGAGAGGCCAGAGGCGCGGCCAGGCGCTCGGCCGTCCATCCGAGGTGGGCCTCGTCGACGGTCGTCTGGCCTAGCTGTTGCTGCCGTCGTACCTGCTTGGCAAGGCGCTCGACGACGTCCAACGGATGTCGCAGCGGCACATCTCCCGGCAGATGGATCTCGACGATGCCTTGGTCCTGCCGCACCGTGACGGCGGGATCCTCGGCCACGTAGGCCTCGACGACAAACTGCCGGGAAAGGCGGAATAACGGTAAGGGCTTGGCTCAGCATCCCGTCGTCTCGTCGCAGCTCGGCGTGATCCTACCGCATGCTTCACTCACCTCGAGCTCGAGGGCGTCCAGCTCAATGTCCTGCCTGGTCCGACTCTGCCCCTGACCCGTCAGGTCGCTGCCGGCAGCCTTGACGTCGCCCTCTTCAAACTGCAGGCGGTGCCTCGTCAGTGGCTGCCCGCCGCCGTCCTCTGTGCCGGGAGGACCCGTACTGCTGCGCCTCCTTGCTCCCAGCCTGGATAGCTCGAGCACCTCGTCCTTGAGCTCCCGCTTGACGTCGGTCGACACGCCGTCCCTGGCCTCGCCGCGCTTGGCATTGTCGATGCGTTTGGCACGACGTCGCCCGGCCATGATGTGGCGACGGGCCTCGAGCGGCGTCTGCGGGATGACGGGCCGCAGCTGCACCTTTCCGGACTGCCTGTTGGACGGGCCAGACGACGCTTGGCGAGGCGCAGACGGGCTGGACGAGAAGCCAAACCAACTCCACAGCCCCGCACCCGGTCCAGCATCGGCATCGGCAGCGGCAGCGGTCGTCGGCGCACTCGTCGTGGCCGGCGCCGGAGCCGGACCGCGGGACGCCAGACGGACGCGCGCCGGAGGTTGGTTGGCACCGCTGCCACCACCGCCGCCGTTGCCGCCGTCGGCCGGATCGGGCCTGGCTACGGCGACGAAGGTGAGGTACGAGTGGCTGACGTACTCCTTTGCGCCGGTGACGGGGTCCTCTTTGACGACCCGGACGCCGACCTCCATGCTGCTTCCCCAGGCACGGTTGACCGAGGCCGAGAGGTGAATCAGGTCGCCGAGGTACACCGGTTTGAGGAGGAGCACCGAGTCGACGCTGATGGTGACGCAGCTCGACTCTGCGTGCTTGCGGGCGCTGACGCCGGCCACGACGTCGATCCAGCGCAGCAGTGCACCGGCGCGCACCTTGTGCAGCGTGCGCCCGGCGTGGTCCTGAGCCTGGCTCTGGCCCTGGCCCTGGCCCTGGCCCTCTGGATAGGAGCCGGCGTCACACATGTCGTAGGTGGTCGGGTAGGTGACCTGCACCGTGCTCTGGTCGGTCGTCTTGCCCGGCGGCGGTTTGGCGTCATCGGTGCCTGACCGTGTCGCGTGTGCGGGGCCAGGTGCAGCACGGGCCAGAGGAGGAGCAGCAGCGGCAGCGGCTGTGGTAGCGGCCTGTCCATCGGTAGCAAAGGTTCGGCTTCCATTGGTACGGGGATCGCTGCGCGGAGATCGGCGTCGGGGCGGCAGGGAAGCGGCGAGGACATTGTAGGTGGCCGCGAGGAAGAAGAGGGCGCCGAGGCCGGCCACTGCGGCCGTATAGAGCTCGACCGGGCGATTGCCGGCCGATGACAGCGACGACGAGGACGAGGACGACATCAAAGTCGATGCAGGTATGGCTGCTGCCGGTGTGGAATGAAGGCAAGACAGGGGAGCAGAGAGCGAGAGGTAGAGGGGGAGAGAGGGAGGGGGTGAGGGAGGGTGCACCAGGGCGGATGGCATCACCGCGCCCCAAACACCCTAGGCGGCCGTGTGGAGGCCGGACCCTGCGCCCGCCGCCTTTGCCTTTGCTCGCCGCCAGCGCAACGCACCGCCAGCACACTCGCCTCTAACTGACTAGCCCCCTCCTCATCCCCATTCATGACAGCGAGCACCTCCTCGTCCAGCCTCACATGCACAACCGAAGCACACGGACTCGACCTCAAGACGGCGAGTGCGCGATGCTCAGACTCGACCCGATCGCAAGCGGCCAGGTCTCCTCCTGCGCCGGAGCTGGCCCACCATAAGGCTCGAGCTGGATGTTGAGCAATCGAGCGCGACGCCCCTCGGATGGATGTTTGGCTGCAGCCGTTCCTCTCTCTCGCCCATGCTTTGCTGTCGGATGACAGAGAGGTCGGGGAAGGAGCGGACAAGCCGCGCAACATGGTGCAAAGGACGCGATGCCCTCGACGGTGCGACGAGGTGATGTGTCGCGTCCAGCCGTCCAGAGGAAAAACACAACAGACAGACGCGCGCGTCGCCGTTGGCCGTCCGTCGCCGCCGTTTTCGAGGCGAGGCCAACGAGGGTTGGCTGGTGTTGGTCTGTTGTGCCTTCTTCGCCGGCTGGCCCATCACGCCGCGACACCACCGGAGATTGAGACACGCGCTGGAAGGCCTGCCAGTCTTGGATGCTCGTTCAACCCTTCCTCGCCCCGCCTTTGCGTTCAGTCCCTCGACCCTTCCCGCCATCAACAAGGCGGCGGCCACCCGTGCCCTCGAGGTTGGTCGGTCAGCCCCGTCCTGCCGCTCTCGACACTCTTACACGTCATGCGATGCCCTGCCGTGTCATGCCGAGGCGTCTTGGAGGGTCACTCGCCGTACAAACGCCGAAGCCCTTCGTCCGTCCACGCTGCGCCAACTGACTAGGTGTAGAAGAGCGCAAACAAGCGTCGATCCCATCGCACAAAGGGCGCTCTTGAAGGCCCGGTGCACATCCATCGACGATGGCGCACACGCATGGGCAAGCGAAGGGGACACGTCCAGCGCGGCGTCTCAGTACGCTCAAGCACCCACCCTCGCCCGGCGTCCTTGGTCATCCACCGCGGAAACGTGCAAGTGAGGCCGCTCGTCTGTCGTGCCTCCTCCGCCCCCGGCCGCGTCTGCGTCGTGGGGCCGCAGAAGGGTCCCGCCGGACACCGTGTCCCCGCTCTTGCTGTTTGCACGCTTCGACGAGGTGAGGCAAAGGAGCGAGAGGCAACGGTTCTGCCGGTCCGTACCTGAGACTGACAGGCACAGAGGAGCCGACATGGGCTTATAAGTCGACCTCTCCTCGGTCGTCAAAGTGTCCAGGCCGCTCCTTCGTCTGTCACCAACCTCCTCCTCGTCAAGCTCACCATCCACCGCCAAGGCACGACCCCTCGCCGCTTAACAGCCACCCGACGGTCGCACGCTCGCCAACATTTGCAATACCATTCTGTTCACCATCGACCTCGACCTCGACCTCGACCGCAGCAGCACAAACACCGCCCACGCAGAATCGCCTACCGTCTGATTTCCAGCTCCAACGACCTATCCCCCCACTCCTCGCCGCATCTCTATCACGATGAAGTTCTGCACCGTCATCACTGTCGCCGCCCTCCTAGGCACCTCGGCCTACGCCGCCTCTCTGGACGCATCCAGGAGCGCCCTCTCGCCCTCGGCGGCCGACGAGGCCGATTCGTTTGCCTCTGACCTGCTCGTCACGTCTCGGTTCGAGGACCTCGAGGCGCGCGGCGGCAAGCACCACAAGCCCAAGAAGATGCAGGGCGGAAAGATTACCTGGTACAACGGCGATCAGCTGCTGCGACCCGTGAGTGGCGCCTGACAGTCCAGCCCAGCCCAGTCCGTTTGATTTTGACGACAAAAGCAAGCTCGCTGACCTGACCTGGCCCGACCCGGACCTGCTGCTTATTCTCGACCGCAGGCGTGCCCCGGTATGGCGACGCCGACCGACGACTCGATGACGGCAGCCATCTCGCTCGTCTCTCCGCCGGCCAAGTGCGGCGACAAGATCCAGATCAAGAAGGGCGACCAGTCGGTCGTGGTGACCGTCGTCGACTACTGCGCCGCGTGCACGCCCAACTGGATCGACGTCACCAAGGGCGTCTTCCGCCACTTTGACGCCGTCTCTGCGGGCGTCATCCAGGACATGGAGTTCACCGTGCTCCCTTGAGCCATCCAGGCCTCGCGCCTTGGCTCACACTATTCTTGACCACGGATCGTCTCGCCTCCGCCCTCGTTACCGCTCTGTCGCACGCTGGACGTCGAGCAGACTGCTGTTCTCTTTCTCTTGCGGCTCTCTCTGTGCCTTGCTCTCTCCCTCTCTCTCACTCACGCTCAAGGATCCTCTCGAGGTCTCACGGTCGAGCCGGGCCTGCTGCGCGCGTCGCGGCGCCTGGTGCTTGACCGGCCTCTGCATCACCATCGCTAGCCCGCCTCTCTAATCGCATACCGTTCGCTGTCATCCTCGTCTGCATCGCAGGGCCTGCAAATTTGCTGGAGCGTGCGGGTGCTTGTGAGAGGGCGATGGAGAGAGGCAGTAGTAGATGGCAGGGCCTGCGCGGGCAGGCACGAAGCTGAGCCTGAATGGGGTGCGCACGGGCGGGCAGGCGGGGCGGACGGACGGCGCGCGCGGAGACTCGCCCGAGTTTGCGCGTGGACCCACGGACCACCCGCGGGTCGGACTTGACCGAGGCCGGGAGCGCGCCTCTGATCTTCGCTGCCACAGCCTTCCAGGCCCACTACGGCCTTCCCGCCAGCTTCAACGCCAAGCCGCGCTGGTGTCTTGCGCGCTACGCGATACTGGTCGAGCGGGTTAAACTGTCCAGCGCCTGGTACGATGACCCTCTTCCTGAAACGGCATCGTGACTGGCCGAGGTAGGTAGCGGTGACTTGGTCGGCCTCTTTGTGGGGCAGCAAGAGGCTGTGACGACTGGCGGGGGTCGCGCGACTGGCGAGCCGACCAAGAAGCCAGACCGAGGCGGCCGGCCAGGTCGCCTTCTTCCCCGCTTCCTTCCTTCCTTCCTCGCCCTCACCCTCCCCACCTCCTCATCCCCATCCCCATCCTCGTTCTTCTTCGTCCCTCTCGCTCGTCGTCACAGCCCTCTCGTCAGGCCTAAGATCAACCCTCCTCACCATCAACCTCCCTCTCCTTCTCGCACCCCCGAACTCTGGACCCGCCCACGATGTCGTTCGTCCGCGTCCCGCTCGAGGACTTTGACCGCGTCCTCGGCACCACCTCGACCGAGATCTCTTCGGTCGCACTCGGCGGCCGCATCCTCTCGTGCTCCGACGAGTGGTTCGCACCGGCGTCCAGCCTCCTCAAGGTCGGACCCGCTCCCTCGCTCAAGGGCCAGTTCGGCCCAAAGGGCGCCCTCTTTGACGGCTGGGAGACCCGCAGGCACTGCCCCACGTACGACTGGGTCATCCTCCGCCTCGGTCCCAAGGCAGGCGGGCACCTCGTCGGCTTCGACGTCGACACGGCCAACTTCAACGGCAACGAGGCGCCCGAGGTCGAAATCTACGGAATGCAGCTCGACCCGCAGCAAGAGGCGCAGGCAGCCGACAACCTCGCCGAAAACGACCCCAGGGTGAGTGTCCAGCGTCGGCCAACCATCGGCTCGCTGACTCTTGCCCTACTCCCCGTCCTGACGCTCTCGACACGCTGTCCCTCCTCATCGCTGCTTCTGTCATGCACCAGTGGGAGACCTTGATCCCGACGGTCCCCTGCGGCCCGTCGCAGCGACACCTCTTTGCCCTCCCGCCCGCCGCCTCCTCCAAGGCCTACACCCACATCAAGCTCCACATGATCCCCGACGGTGGCATCGCCCGCTTCCGCGTCTACGGCACCATCCCCGCGCCCCCCGTCGGTCAGGGCGAGGGCGAGGCGGTGGCAGCCCAGCCCGAGCTCAACACCCTCGACCTGGCCCACTGCCTCAACGGCGGCCGCGTCGTCTTGTGAGTCGTGCCTGCCCTTCGGTTCTCTGGATCAACCTCGCCCGCCTATCATGGCTGACCGATCCTCCCCCGCCCCTTACCACTCACACCGCCGCACAGCACCGACGACCAGCACTTTGGCTTTGGCACCAACATTGTCCTGCCCGGGCGCGGCAAGGACATGGGCGACGGCTGGGAGACGAGGCGCTCCCGTGGCAAGGGCCACTTCAACTGGTCCATCATCAAGCTGTGAGTGGGCCAGAGGCGCATCGTTCGAGCCGGCAGCCATCTCGGACTGCTGAACCCATGCATTTCGTTGCCCTTCTTCCCCTTTGTGGCTACGCAGCGGCGAGGCGGGCGTGCTCAACTACGCCGAGATTGATACGGCGCACTTTCTGGGCAACTTCCCCGAGAGCGGCGAGCTGCTGGCCACGACGTTCGACGGCCAGCTGCCCCCCTCGGACGCCCAGTGGACGACGATCCTGCCGCGCACCAAGCTGGGTCCGGGCCGCCGCCACTTCTTCGAGCTGGCCAACGTCGACGGCGTCGCCTATACCCACGTCATGGTCAAGATGCACCCGGACGGCGGCATCAAGCGCGTCCGCATCGTCGGCCGCCGCGCCGCGCCGCTCGTGGCCGCCAACCTGCTCGCCACGGCGCTGCCCAAGGTGGCCGTGCCCCAGGACATACAGGACCCGCTGCCGTCGGCCAGCTCTGATCCCTTTGCTCCCGTGAGTGCCCTGAACGACCCGCAGCGCCCTGATCCGCCATCAATCGCCGCTGTGACTGGGCAGCAGCAGCAGCAGCAGCAGCTGGGTTGCATCGTATCGGCCGGTCCGAGCGGGACTGGAGAGCGCTTCATCGCGGCGCAGCCCTTGACGAGCGCGGCGTTTGCGCCGTACGGCAGCGTGATCCACACGCCGCCGTCGAGCGAGGGCGCTCCGTTCCGCATCGTCAACCAGGGCACGGCGCGCAAGTACGTCGGGCTGGCGCCCGTCGTCAACAACTACCCGCCCCACGCGCCGGCAAAGACCAACGTGCACGTCTACCACTGCGACCCGGTGCCCGCCGTCGGCGGCATGCCGTGGAGGGTCAAGCTGCTCGAGAGGCACAGGTTCACCACCCAGGCCTTTGTGCCCATGACGCCGGCGGGTGGCGCACAGGCGGGGCAGGAGGGCTACCTCGTCGTCGTGGCGCTCAATTCCAAGGGTGAGAGGGTCTCGGGCGCGGGCAGGGTGGCATGGGGCGGAAATTGGGGTGCCAGCCAGCCCTTGTCGTCGTCGTCGCTGGTGTCGTCGAGCGATCATGGTCCGCAGGAGAGGTCGTTGCCGTTCCAGCGTGACAAGACAGAGGCACGAGGAAGCTGACAGCCCACCATCTCCGGCCCTCTTTTGCTCGTTTTCGCTCGCGCTGCTCTGTACCTCGGCGACGCGGCAGATGACAAGCCGGACCTGAACACGCTCGCCGCCTTTTACGCCACGACCGAACAGGCCATCTCGTGAGTTGATCGTCCGGTGCTGGGCCCAGCCGCGGCGGAGGCGGGTTGCAGTCGGCACAGAGAAGGACGAGAGAGTGAGGGTCAAAGAAGCGCTGACACCCAACCTCGTCGTTCGTGTCTCGACTCGGGCGTGATGTCGACGGGATGGCAGGTACCACCCTGGATGCTGGCACCACCCCATGATTGCGCTCGGTACGCAGCCGACGTCGTTTGCGTGCATCGTCAACGAGAGCGACGTCGACCCTTCGCTCGACTGCGACGAGGTGCCCGTCTAGACGGACCCGAGTCCTATGCCTGCTCGCCCATTGCTCTTTAGACCTGCTCTACATCGCCATTCGCCATCGACACCGACCATGCCACCCCTGCCGCGTTCGGCTGCCCAATCGACAGATCAGAGATCCCACTCCTCGTCCTCCTGCCGCGTCTGCATCTCATACTCCTCGTCGGTCCCCACACCCTCCCCCCCATCCTCGTCTGCATCATCCGCGGGTTCATCACCGGTATAAACGGCGAGGAGGTCTTCGATCCTCTCCCGGATCTCCTTTAACCCGTCCCTTCCTCCGACGACACCGTCGTTCTCGTCGTTGGATGCCGCACCGGCCCCCGCCGCCGACGAGGGCGAACCGAGACCGTACGTGAAGAGCGGATCGTGTCCCCCTATCGCCTCGGACAGCGTCTGCCGCGCACGGCGCAGGAGGAACCGCGTCGTCGACACTGTCGAGAGCGACGAGACGACGGGCACGCTCCGCGGTCGCGTACTTCCTCCCGCCCCTCCTGGACCTGCCGCCGTTGTTGCGCGGCCCGACGCATCGAGAGAGGTAAAGATGCGCGGAAAAGACGTGGGTAGGTTGTACGGCTGCATCGTGTACAGCCTGCGTCGTCGTCGTCGTCGTCGTAGGCGACGAGGAGGGGGGTCGGGATCGATACGGGATCAAGGACGAGAAGCGTTCGTCGTCAGCATGGCTGGCTCTGCGAGGGCAGCACTGCGATTCGACGGCTTTGAACGCCGTCGTTCGACGGCGTCGACCGGCTTGGAAAGGCACTTCTAACTCACCCTTGACCCAGCGGCTCCCTCAGCTTGACGAACGCATCCACCGCCCCGAGGATGGGCCGGACATTGTCGGCGTCGTCGTCGCGCGCCATGACGCTAGCCGCGTACGGCCGCCTGACGCCGTGGAGCACGCGGTCGCGCCGCCTGACGCGCGCGTCGTCGTCGACGGAGAGGTCGATCCAGCCCGCCTCGAGCTGCTTGGCCCCGCGCGCTGCCCGTTCCGCCATCGACTCGGTGGGACCGCGCGCGCGGCCGCGGTCCCGATCGCGCGATCCGTAGCCGCGCGAGGCGAGCAGCGCTTCGATCGGGTCGAGCGGTTGTGCTGGTGCCGATGATGACGAGGATGCAGATGAGGAGGAAGACGAGATGGGACACGGCATGCAGCCGCCCAGGTGCGCGATCTTGGTGTCTCGCCGCCAGTTGAGGCGCGAGACGAGCGACGCTATCGACTCGGGCCGCGATCGTAGCCTGCACCACCGCTCAAGGGAGGTTCAGAAGACGGGAGGGAGGTCAGTCATTCGCCTCATCCGGACGCTTCGGGCAAGCTTCGTCGACGGCGAGGCACGACACGACACTCACCGGCTGCCCAGCGTGGCCGTCTCGAGGTGCGCGGACACGAGCGCACTGGCGTGGTGCATGTCGGCGAGGTCGATGCGGCCCAGGTGCTCGGCCCAGCCCCCCTTTTGCGGGAGCCCCGGCGTGGTCTCGGTCGAGGTGGGGGCGCGCAGCGGTACAAAGAGGGCGGAGCTCTCGGCGAGCGATGCGAGCGCGAGGGCGTTGTTCATCCTGCGCAGCCGTGCCAGGCGCGCCGCTGTCGCAGCGCCGCTGCCGCCGTCGTCGTTGTCGTCACGGGCCGCCGCCTCGGCGCCCCAGGCTGCGCCAAAGACGAGCTGGGTGGCCTTTGGGAAGTCGTCGTGGATGGCGTCGACGTAGGCGGTGCCGAGGCCTCCAAAGGCGTCCGAGGTGTTGACGACGTGCTGGAAGCCCTGGAGCAGGTCGCTGTCCTCTGCAAACCAGCGCAGGTTGTCGTCGAGCGTGTCCGACTCGCGCTCGAGCTGCTTGAAAAAGGCGTGGCCCTGCTCGAAGCGCTCGAAGCGGGTGCGGCCGTCCTGGACGTCGTCGCCGTCGCCGTCGCCGTTGTAGGAGCCGAGCATGGGCGCCATGAGCTGGCCGCCGACGGTGATGAGCGACTTTGGGTGGTAGTAGACGCGCGAATGGTCGGACCAGAAGCGGAAGCGGGCGGCATGCCGGGCCGTCTGCTTGGACGCCGGTGTCGGCGTTGCTGAGGCGCCGCCCTGGTCTGCATCGGCAGGCCGGTCTGCGTTGCCGCCGTCGGCGTCGTCGGCTTCGTCCTCGTCGTCGTCTTCTTCGGAGTCGTAGTCGTAGCCCTGGTCCTCGAGCTCGAGCCTCTTCTGGTACCGGCTCTTTGGTACGGGCTGGGAGCCGTGTACCTGGGCTGGGCTGTTCCAGGTCGCGACCGGGTGGCTTGCGAGCTGTCGGAGCAGCTCGTTGTGATCCTGCCCCTCGTCGTGTCCGTCGAGGTGGAAAGACTGGTAGAGCGGGTTGAGTTTGCGGAGGCTTCCGAGCTCCTGCTGGGTCTCGAAGATGAGGGTGCGCGGGCTGTAGGTGTCCTGTCCGTGTGCGCCCTTGCCTGCCTTGAAGGAGGCGTCGTGGTCGATCAGGGGGTCATTGTCGTGGTCGCGGTCGTCGTCGCCGTCGTGGTCGTTGCCGTCGCCGCCGTGGTCGTTGCCGCCGTAGGTGAAGTAGGACTGCTGCTGGTTCCAGAAGTGGGTTGCGATGTGGTTTGCATAGGGGCCAAAGGAGAGGTAGATGATCTCCCTCTGCGACATGGCGATAGAGGTGGCGGGCCGGCGAGCAGCGGCTGAATGTCGATGTCGAAGAGAGGCCGAGTGGCGAGGGTCGAGGCTGGGAGGGAAGAAGAACCCCCCAATGGCGCCCTCTGAAATTGCGAGTGAAAAGGCCGACGTGCGCACGCGCCCTCTGTCCTGCCTTTGTCGCTCTGCTTCTGCCTCTCTGCCTCTCTCCCCGGATGGCCTGCGCGGCCTCCACACGACATCCTGACGTGGCCGCTGCCTCTACCTCTGACCACGACGACCACCACGACGACTCACCCCTCTGCCACCACCATCAAGCACTCGCACTCGCACTCGCACTCGCACTCGCACTCGCACTCGCACTCGCACTCGCACTCAGCCCCTGCTCAGAACTCTCCCCTCGCTTTCCACTGTATCTCCCCTCCTATCACCATGGGCGACCGTCAGATGCGTGAGTAGGCGTGGCCCGCCGCCTTGCTACTGCCACGTCCCTGCATTCCGCTCTGCTGACTGCCCAGCCTCGCGCCACCCGCCAGTCCTCGACATGGGCTTTGCGCCCGAGCGCGTCGACTGGGCCCTCTACGCCACCGGCAGCAAGGGCCTCCAGTCCGCCCTCGACCATCTCGAGGCAAATCAGGACAAGCCCATGCCCAAGGACTACAAGTCCCAGCCCCAGCAGCAGGCTACCAACTCTTCGGCCGCCGACGACGACGAGGTAAGCACCCACGCCCCGCCCTCTTCGCGTCAATTCCATCTCGCCGCAGCTGACCCGTCTCCTCCCCGCTCAATGCCTGTCACCGCCTCACTGCACCTGCTCGCTCTTCCTCGTCGCCCCATTCGCGCCCGCCCCGCAGTACGACGCCGAGGACCAGGCGGCCCTCGCCGACATGATCGCCAAAAAGGGCCAGCAGGCCGGCGACAACATGGTCAACGACGTCGGAGAGGCCAAATCCATCAAGTGCACAGAGTGCGGAAAGATTCTCAAGTCGGCCGCCTTTGCCTCCTACCACGCCGAAAAGTCGGGCCACACGTCGTTCGAGGAGAGCACGGAAGAGGTACGTGCCCCAGAACACCGGCCCGCGCTCACTCTACCCATCCCGACAGCCGTGCTCAATGCTGCTCACCTTGCATGCTCTTCTGACGCCGCCCCCGCCGCCCTTTTCACAGATCAAGCCGCTGACTGAAGAGGAGAAGAAGGCTCGACTCGAGGAGCGTGAGTGCATGCATGCCCAGAACATCAACTTCGCTAGCCTGCCGCGGTTGCTGACCCTGTCCGCTCCGCCTCTGATCGCCTCCTTCTTCCACACCGCGCCCGCAGTCAAGGCCAAGCTCGCCGCAAAGAGGGCCACCCAGAGCAAGGTCGATGCCGAAGAGGCAAAGGCCAACGAAAAGGTGAGCCGCCGAACGTGTCGATGTCGACACGCCCGCGTCGATCCATGAGCGGGCTCGCCGACTGTTGATCCAGCTTGCACCTGTCCTCTCATCGCCATTCAGATCCGCCGCAAGGCCGGCCAGGACATGGGCGAGATCCGCGAGGAGATGAAGCGCAAAGGTAAGGGCGCAGACTGTTCCCACTTTCTCGGCCCTGCCCGCATGTGCTGACTGGCAGCGCCGACGAACAACGACCCGACCTTGTCCACCGCCCGCCCCACAGAGCAAATTAAGGAGGCCGAGAGGAAGCGAAAGGAGAAGGCCGAAGAGGTGAGCCAGCGGTCCGAGTGGAGCCGCCGGTATCGGTCCCGGTAGGAGCTGGCGCATCCAGCGACCTCGCGCTGACCGCCTCGCTGCCATCCCCTCATCGCTCACCTTGAAACAGGCCGCCTTCAAGGCCAAGGTCAAGGCGCAGATCGAGGCCGACAAGCGCGAGCGGGCCGCCAAGGCTGCGGCCGACAAGGCTATGCGCGAGGGCAAGACGCCGGCCACGGTGGCCGCCACCCCTGCTACGGGTCCGAGCGCCGCTGCGCTGGCCGCCAGCGCTGGCCCGCAGGCATCGACCAGCACGTCGAACGAGGCGCGGCTGCGAGTGCGAGCGCCCGGCGGCATGTGGATGGGCACGATGAGCGCCGACGCCACGCTGCAGGAGGTCGAGGACAAGGTGCGGGCCGACGGCAAGGCTGGCGCGGCGACCAAGCTCAAGGTGAGTAGCAGCGGCTTTGACGTGGGGAGCCTTACTGCTGGCGGGCAGACAGGCAGGCGGGCAGGCAGGCAGGCAGACAGGCAGGCAGACGGGCAGGCAGGCAGGCAGGCAGGCAGATCCAAGACCGACATCCAGCTGACGGCGTCTGGTTCTTGCTCTGCATCCCGTGCGACGACTGCAGTTCTCGACGACGTTCCCGCGCAAGTTTTTCGAGGCGTCGGACGGCGCCAAGACGCTGCGAGAGCTGGGCCTGGTGCCCAACGCGGCGCTCGAGGCCTCGGCCGCCTAGGTCCACAGCGTGGCCTGGAGGCATGAGCGCTCGCCGAGGTTGGTGCGCCGGCGTCGGCCCCGAATCGCGTCCTAGATGAATTGTGAAAGCGCCGTACCGTTCCAGCCGCAGACTGTCGTGTGCGAGGACGTGAGGCTGTGCTGCTGCATCTGGTACGATGAGCCTGGCTGGATCGGGAGCGTGGCGGCGCGGCCATGCCTGCCCTCTTGTTGGTCTCTGCGGGGACGCGTCGAAGCCGTTGGCGCGGCGGCGTTTGCGAGGCGTCGCCTGGCCGAGAGCCGAATTTCGAGGCGGAGGCTTGAAGGCGGCAGGTGTTGGTCTCGCCCGCGGCGGTTTCTCCACCTGGATGCCGCCGCCGGCTGCTACTGGTGTCGCTTGGCTTCTCTCTTCCACCACGACCACGACCACGACCATCCTTCTCGCTCCCCACTACCACACACTACTACTGCTTGCGCCTCGTGCCTCGAGCTTCTGCCATCGCACCGCCGCCGCCTGCCTCTCGATCTCGCCGGGATGATGGCGGGACCAGTAACACTCACCTGCACTTGCACACCCTAGACAACAACCCGCGTCTCTTCGTCCAACACGCGGCGTCATCGGGCTGCCAGACGCCTTCCCTCTGCCGCCATGGCCTCCTCGACCGCAGAGCTCGTCACGCAGCACATCGTCGAGGGTCATCGAGCTCGCCTCAGCCACGGCAACGACCATGACCACGCCCTCGACGCTGAAATCGCCGACGCCCTCGGCCCCTCATCGTCAAACCTCGTCAACCGCCTGCGCCACATCAGGGCCGAGGCAAAAGTCACCACCCAAGGCCGATTCACCACTGACGACGTTCATATCGCCCCAGCACATGCTCACGGCTGCGACGCCGGTCCTAGCCGCCTTCGCCGCCTCCAACATTCGCCGCCCGACACTGCCCTGACCGAGCTCTGCTGGCGCGATGGTGTCCTCACCTGGTCCCGCGGCTGCAAGGTGGTCCGCACGTTCACGTTTCCGGAACCCATCCTGCAGGCATTCTGGACTTGGATGGAGGTCGACAGCCCGGACCCCATCGAGCGCGCCCCCGGCAAGCGACCCTCGAGCGCCGCCGCCCCTCGTTCTCCTGCCGACCAGCAGGTGGCAGCCCGCACTCTTCTACGCACCCGCGGCGCGTTTTCGGCGCTACAGAGACATCGCTCCCACCAATCCGCCAGTGGCGCGACCAACCGCGATGGCCTCCGCGCCTCGCACGACCCAGAGTCGGCCCATCTCGAGCGCACCCTCTGCATCTTCTTCCAGCAGGGGCTCCTGCTCCACATCCCGCGCCGTGGCGAGGAGCATCGCATCGACCTGCCCTTCCGGCCCGCGCGCGCCTTTCCCATGCCCGTCGGCCTGTTCATCCAGAGGCAGACCGAGAACGAGGACGTCGAGATCGCCGACCGCCTGCAGCGCCAGCACCGTCGTTTCGACGACCATCGCGACGCATCCTCGTCCGCCTCGGGCATGGGCTACCCCTTCCCCAACGTGGCCGCCTCGATGCTCGACCCGCAGACTCCGGACTTTGGTCCCTACATGCCGTCTGGCGGAGATATGGACATGGACATGGACATCGACGAAGACGACGAGGACCAGCTGGCGTCCACCATCCTCCCCATGGCCTTCCACCTGCGACGACCCTTTGACGAACTGGCCCAGGTCGATCGCTATCCTCAGATCTCTGAATCGGTGAATACAAGCGGGGGCTCGGATGGCGCCCACTTTGTCCACGGCCCCGCAACGCCCTTCACCGACGTCGACGAGGCCATTGTGTTTGTCTCGCAGTGCACCGAGCAGTCGCCGCTGCCGGTGCTGGTGACCGCGAGCCACCGCACCCGCTCGATCCGCATCTACGCGTTCTCCGAGACTCCCACGCGGCCCATGTCCACCTCGATCATCCTCTCGTCGCGCCTCGCCGCCGGCACTCAGGGCTCCAGCGACCTCCCGGGCTCGCAGTCGATCGACATGAAGCTCGATCTCGTCGCCGCACAGGACTCGTCCTCGGCCGGTCCATCGACGACGGCCAGGCCGGACGAAACAGGCGTCGATCCGCAGAGCTCGTTGGCGCGAGGCATCGGAAGGGGCCTGCCCTCGACGCGCAAGAGCGGGCGGATCGAGCTCGAGAGGCGGTCCAGCACCAAGTCGGTGCCCATGGGCCGCGACCCCAGCGGCCGCAGCCGCCGCATCAGCGCGATGCACGCCGGCAACAACGAGCGTCGGATGGCCAGCCGGGCCGACGAGGTCGGTGCCCTGGCGAGGGATCGGACCATGAACGGCAACGTATCGCAGACCGTCGACGGCCTGCGGAGGCAGAGCCAGGCCCTCACCCAGGAGGCGATGCTGGGTGAGCTGACCAACGGCAACGTCAGCGTGCGGGTGCCCTCCTCGGCCCGCCTGCGCAGGAGCTCGCAGGCGGTCAGGACGCCCTATGCCGGGCCGCGCACCACGACGCGACAGCCGGGCACGGCGGCCCGAACGCCCGCGGCGAGGACGCGCCTGTCGATGTCGATGCCGCGGCCCGACGCCAGCATCGACAACTTCGATCTCACCTCGTACCCTGCGGCCGGTCCGAGCACAGGCAAGCTGGGCGCCTACGAGCCGGAGGCGCTCGACGCCAACGACTCGTCGTCTCGCTCGGCCGAGTCCGACCCCCTTGGCGGTCTGGCCGACCTGGACAACTTTGCCCGCAGCTTCGCCACCGTCGCGCTGCTCGAAGAGATCCCGGCGGCGGGCCTCAACAGCGCCGACAGTTGCCAGAAGATCGACGTCAAGGTGGCGCGCTTCTCTGCGGCCAGCGACAGCCCAGTCCACCTCTACATCTCGGTGCCAGCCCTGGGCCAGACCTTCTGCCGCCTGGTGCGGTGGCGCAGTTTCGCCGCCGAGGGGGGCCGCACCCGCCGGGCTCTGCACTCGGGCAAGCCGGAGGCGTCGTCTGCGCTGCCGGTGCTGGACACGGCCATGGTCGCAGTGCTCCCGTCCCAGGGCGGCGTAGCCAGCGGCGTCGTCGTCGTGGATCCCGACAACTCGCTGTCGCTCTGGATCGGCCCGGCAGGGCGCGGGCAGGGGCCGCTCAAGCTGGGAGCCTGGAGGAGGTGGTCGATCGGGCGGCAGCGCAGCCCCAAGAACGAGACGCTGGCAATATCTTCGACCATCCGCCATGTCTCGTCAGTGCAAGGCACCACGCTGCGGCTCCACTTCGCCGAGCACGACGACGCGGTGCAGGTCGACCTCGACTTCGAGCCGCGCTGCTCGCTGACCCAACGCACGCTCCGGCTTCTCTCGGCGATGCTGCCGCCCGGCGCGTACGCTTCGTTAAAGGGCGCCTGGATCGCCAATCGCTTTGGCCTGGACAAGCCCCAGGAGCAGCAGGGCCCGCCTCTGCCGGGTCAGGACTGGGAGACGCTTGTGCAGGTGCTCGGAGGCAGCTCCGCCGTCCAGTCCGGGGCCGCTGAGGCGACGGGCATCGCTCCCCTAGATCGATTGGCCATGTCGCTGTCGCATGCGGAAGAGGGCGACAACGACATCTTTGCCGGGTGGAGACAGCTGCCTGCAGGGGAGGGACCAGCGTCGAGCACGAACGCCGCACCCAAGCCCGTCAGCCTCACGTCGTACGACCGGCGCACCGTCGCCGCCGTCCTCCACCTGCTCGCGCAGGAGAGCCGGCTCGACTCGATCGCGGCCACGTCCGACCTGCCGCGACTGGTGCGGCTGCTCGTCCAGGTGGCATCGGCTTGCGGGCTCGACAGCTGGCTCGACTATTGGAAGCTCGTCGCCCCATCGTCGTCGCAGGCGCCGCCCGCCTGCCCAGTTGACGGCCAGACGGCAGATCCGAGGGCCGAGGCCAATGCCGCACCGTTCGACGTCTACGAGACGCTGTCTCGACAGCTAAAGGGCAAGACCAAGGCGACCATCGCCGACCTTGCGCGCGAGGTCGCTCGCAGCGTCGTACCCTCCGCGACGCACGAGGTGCTGCTCGATGTCTGCGGCAGGACGTCGCAGCTGCTCGAGCTCTACGCTCTCTTTGCGCCCGTCCAAGGCCAGGCGGCGCCGGTGGCGCACCGCGTCGTGGAGCGGATGATCTCGCTCGGCGTCGGCCACGACGAGGTGCGAAGTCTACCGCTCGGGTTGGCGTTGCCGCTGCTCGAGGCGATCCGCAGCTCGCAACTCGACCCTCCGATGCGCTGGTCCGCGGAGGCGTTCCGGCTGGTCCATCGGACCGACCTGGCCATGCACCTGCTGGCGCGCACCACGGGCTACAGCACCGACCTCGAGCAGGCCGTGTCGCACAAGCTGCTCCGCACCATGCCGAGGCGCTCGCACCTCGACCCGCTGTGCGCCCTCATCTTCAACCGCGACTTCCGCCTCGCCGACGTCGTCCGGATGCTCGAGACGACGACCGTCAGCACCGTCCACGTGCCCGAGGTCGAAGACCAGCCCGAGGCGGCGGTGCTCGAGCAGCACGCGCGCGCCGTCGCCGCCATCACCGAGAGGACCAAGGCGGTGCCCGTCGGTCGGGGCATGCTCTACATGGCCTCACGGCCCTTCCACGCTACGCAAAAGTGGCACATCCCCCCGCTGTGCCTCGGCGTCAAGGTGGTGCCTCGAGGCACGCTCGTCGAGCCCGACGCCAAGGCCGACGCCGCCCTCTTCGAGTGGCCCGAGTTCCACAACGGCGTCGCCTCGATCCTCGAGGTCTGCGTGCCGCAAGGCGCAAAGGTCGATTCCAAGTGGATCTTTTCGCACCTCGGCGAAGAGCCCACGGCCAAGCACGCCGGCTTCCTGTTTGGGCTCGGCCTCACAAAGCACCTGCCGGCGCTGACGCCCGTGCACGTCTTCCGCTACCTCAAGGCCCGCCACAACCTGCTGACCATCGGCTTCCTGCTGGGCCTGGCCGCCGCCGCCGTGGGCACGGGCGACCCCGCCGCGCGCCACCTGCTCGGCATGCAGCTCGTCGCCTTCCTCCCGCCGGGCTCGGCGCCGCTCAACCTGTCGATCCTCACCCAGACGGCGGGGCTGCTGGCCATGGGCCTCGTCTTCCTCGGCAGCAACCATCGCTGGACAGCGAGCCGGATGCTCCAGCAGATCGGGGCTGCCGAGTCGCCGATCCCCGACGTCCAGTCGCAGCATCGCGAGGCCTACTCGCTGTCGGCCGGCCTCGCGCTCGGGCTCATCATGCTGGGCAAAGGCAGGAGCGACGGCATGGCCAGCCTGCCCGACAAGCGCATCGTCGTCAAGCTCGAGCAGCTCATCAACGGCTCCCTCGGCGACATGCAGCGGAGCAAGCGTAAGCCGAGCGCCGTCAAGGTGGAGCTCAATCCGGACCTCAGCCTCACCTCGATCCCGGCCAGCGTGGCGCTGGGCCTCATCTTCCTGCGCAGCAACCGCCGGGACGTTGCCGACGTCCTCTGGCTGCCGACGACCGACGAGCTGCTCGACTACATCCGCCCGGACGTGCTGCTGGTGCGCGTGCTGGCGCGCTACCTCATACTGTGGGACGACATCCGCTGCTCGGTCGAGTGGATCGAGGGCGTGCTGCCAGAGTGGATGCGGGTCGGCAGGGCCAAGGCGGGCCGTGAGCTGTCCGAGGCGGCGCAGCTGGCGTCGATCAACATGAAGGCGGGCGCCTGCTTCGTCATGGGCCTCAAGTACGCCGGCTCACACGACGCGCGCGCCCGCGCGTGCCTGCTGCAGCAGCTGGCTCAGCTCAACCGGGATGCCAAGACCAAGGGTGAGTGATCGGTCGTCGGCCGTCATGTGGCTGCCGGTTTTTTTGCGCTCGCAAGCCGCTCTGACATGTGCTGATGATGATGCTTCTTGTCGATCGGCCTTGCCCCTCGTCTCGCTCGCACGCAGCGCTCACCTACTTTTCCAAGATCCGCCAGTCTGCGCTGCGCGCTGCGGCCGACCTGGTCACGGTTTCGCTCGCGGCGGTGGTGGCGGGCAGCGGCGACCTCGAGGTGCTGCGGACGCTGCGCATGGCGCACGGCGACGTCGATTCGGAGCGCAGCTACGGCTCGCACATGGCCACCCACATGGCCATCGGCCTGCTCTTCCTCGGCGGAGGCCGGCTGACGCTGGGGTCGTCGGACTCGGCGATCGCGGCGCTGCTGATCGCCTTTTTCCCGCGCTTCCCCGGCAGCAGCACCGACAACCGCGCGCACCTCCAGGCCTTCCGCCACCTGTGGGTGCTGGCGGCGGAGCCTCGCCTGCTGATCGCCAAGGACGTCGAGAGCGGCGAGGCAGCTGCCGTGCCCATGCGCATCCAGACCCGCCTCGACGGCTCCCACATCGACGAGACCGACCAGGAGACGGCCATCCGCACGTCGACGCTCGGGTTCGCGCCGACGCTGCTGCCGAGCCTGGACCGGATCGTCGGCGTCTCGACCAACACGGCGAGGTACTGGCCCACATCGCTGCAGGTGGCCGACTCGGTGCAGCACGCCCAGACGCTGCTCCACTCTCGCATCTTGCACGTGCAGCGCAAGACGGGCTACCTCTCGTACAGCGACGACCCGCTGGGCAGCCGGAGCATCTTTTCCAGGTCGCTCGGCACGGCGCCGCTGGATCTGGGCCAAGGGGCGGCGGCCGGGCTGGGACCGTCGATGGACGACCTGCGCGAGCTGGTGCATGGCTTTGCGAGCGGCGGCAAGCACGAGGAGCTCGTGGAGCGCCTGTGCGGCGACGTGGCGGCGGCAAGGGAGGAAGCGACGACGGCGGGGGCAGGCTTCCAGGCGCTGCTGCGGACGATCGTCATGGAGTGCCTGACGCTCGACAAGGCGTACGTCCTGCCCATTTACCTGGCGATGGTGCTGGCACTCGAGCTGGCGCCAAGCGCGGGGGAGGGTGCGGTCGCCACGCTCAACGACCTGCAGTTCGCCGAGTCGTTCTACGACGACGTCTTTGAGCGCGTCGCTGCCGTTGCTGCGATGCAGGCAGAGGGAGGGCCTCGTGCGGCGGCAGCGGCGGCAGCAGCGGAGCAGCCACACCGGGCGCCGCTGGTACAGCTCGGCCTGCTGTCCAAGATCCTCTATACGGCTCGGCAGCGCGGGCGCGAGGCGATCGACGAGCGGCCGGAAGCGCAGCGTGCGCTTGCCGCCTTCCTCGAGCGCAGCGAGTCGTGCGCACCGGCGACGACGACGGCGGACGGCACGGGCGATGCGCTGGCGTTCCTCTGGGCGGCCGAGGGGCGGCCCAAGATCGAGACGATGCGCGAGCTAGCGAGCCTGGTGCGTCGTGCTGCCCTCGATGCGGTACAGCAACAGCAACAGCAAAGCGGCGGCGGTGGTGGTGCGGACGACGAAGGGCGGAGGAGAGCGGAGCTGGTGGACGCGCTGCGCACCACGGCCAGAATGGCGATCCAGGCCTACGAGGCGACGGACGAGGCGGAAGGGGAAGGGGACGGGGCACGAGGAGCGGCGAGCGCGAGGGCGAGCGCGGGCCGGTGGTCTGCCTACCTGGTCGACAAGGTTGTCGAGATCGTCGTGGCGAGGGCGCTGGCGTAGTCGCAAGGAGTCGCCATGGCGCCTGCTGTGCTACGGGCAGGCCCAGCTCAGCTTTGCCATTGCCGTCGAGGGCGAAGCGGGGCAGCATCGGCAAGCACGAGGGAGCCTCCCTCTTTCCCTCCACTTGGCACGCACGCATCCACGGCCGACGCTCGACTGGAAGCGGGGGCCACCCACCCCCATCCATGCTCGCCGTTGCCTTTCCTTAGCGTCATATCCCTGGCTGGCCGGTCGGTCGGTCGGTCAATGTCATCCACCCTCCTCCTCCTTCTCCTCCGAACCGCACCTAGACGAGCCCCCTATGCCTTGTTGCGGTGCTCGCGCCAGCAGCAGCATCACCTAGACACAGCCGCCCGCCACCGTACCGCCCTTGCTGCTGCATCTCAGCGCCCGCACCGCATGTCGAAACGCCCTGCCTCACCCGCGTCCAGGGACGACGTCGGTGGCCCCTCCAGCAGCGGCAGCTCGAAGAAACGTCGCGGATCCGCCACCGATCCGGCACCGTATCGAGTCGCCGCCGATGACGCCGACGATGACGCCGACGGCGTTGGAGAGCTGGGCAAGCTGACGGTGCTTAGCTGGAACCTGAATGGCATACAGCGCCACCTCCCCTCCTCCTCGTCGTCGTCTTGCAGCAGCAGCAGCAGCAGGACGTTGCACGACTTTTTCCGCAACTCGACTCCGCCCTCGCCCCCACCTTGCCCGCCGGCACCACCATCGTCGGCACAACAGCCGCCGCCGCCGCCGCTGGCGGCGGCACGACGAGAGCGGGAAGCCGATTCGCTCCGCACCCTCGTCGCCGCAAATGGATTCCCATCCATCGTGTGTCTGCAAGAGGTGCAGCTACGTCCCTCCGATCCCTTGGTCAAGGAGATGCAACGTGCCTTTCAACCCTCGTCTACCGCCAGCACCACCGCTACCGCCGCCGCTGCTGCCGATGTCGGACTGGGGTACACGATGTTTCTCAACCTCTACGACTCCACGAGGGGGAAGGCGAGGTTCGGTATCGCCACCTTTGTTAGGGACGATGTGCTGCGCCGATTTCGGCAACGAAGGGGCGCGGACGGTGTGGGCTGGAGGACGGTCGAGTGGGACAACGAGGGGAGGGTGGGCATCCTCGATCTCGGACCCGTCTCGGTGAGTCTGTCCTCTTCCCCACGGGGGGCTGCCCCGCACCGCACCGCACGCACGCAGCGCCATACTCAACCCCTTGATCCCCATGCCCTTGCCCTCGTCTCTCTACCCTCGTGACCTCGGTACCACTGCGGATGCGGCTGCGTCTGCGGGGCAGCTGTACAACGTCTACGCGCTCAACTCGTCCTCGTACGCCTTCCACCACCCGACATCGGGCGCGCGCACGCGGCACGAGCGCAAACTCGAGTTCCACACGCTCCTCGCCTCGCAGATCGACGCCGACCGCAACCGCAACCGCAACCGCAACGGGCTTGGGCACGGGCACGGGCAGAGGCGGGCGGTGCTGTGCGGCGATTTCAACGTGACGCCGTCGTCGGTCGATGCGAGGCCGCCCGAGTCGCTGCGAACCCAACACCCGCACGCCCATGCGCGGCGACACTGGCTCGACACCTGCGCCGCCACCGGCCTCGTCGACGTGTACCGCCTCGAAAACCAAGAGGGCACAGAGGTATCCTGGTTCAACGACCACCATCGTCGTGGCGTCGGCGCGCGCGTCGACTACGTCCTTGCCGACTCGCACCTCGTCGATTGCGGCGCGGTGCGCCAGGCGAGCTACAGACCAGACCAGGGTCACAGGAGCGATCACTGCCCGCTCGTCTTTACCCTCGACTTGGACGCGGCGCGCCGGGTTGGCGGCAGTGGCGGTGATGCCCCATTGGGGTCGATTGCGAAAGGTGCCGGCTAGGGGCCGAGGATGAGGGTGAAGGGATACAAATACAGGGCCCATGGTACAGAACAGGTGACGCCGGGACGATGCGGAAGAGATGGCCGGCCGGTCGTCGACCAGCGGCGGCGTGAGCGGGGTATATCGAGGAGATGCATGCAGCGAGGGGGCGGTCGAGGGAGCGAGAAGGTGGCGCCGGACGGGCGGGCGGGCGAGCGTCGCCTGCGCCTGCGCCTGCGCCTGCGCCTAGGAAAAGTGGATGCCCTTCTCATGAAAGGCGGCGAGGAGCTTGAGGAGGTCGTCGATGTCCATCTTTGCGGCGCGGTTGTCGGCGCAACCCGTGTCGCGCAGGATGGCGTCGACGACCTGGGAAAAGGGCACCGAGTCGTCGACCATGACCTCGCGCTCGGCGCACCACACCTTGTAGTTGGCCTCGAGCATGTCGAGCACGCCCTTTGCGCCGAAGAAGCACGCGCGGACGACCTTGTTGCGCCGCGTAAACACGATGCGCGTCAGGCCGTCGAATTCCTCAAACGGGATCGGCGGCGGCGGGTTGAGGGGCGTGATGCGCACCACCGACGATTCGACCTGCGGCGGCGGGCGGAACGAGTTGCGCGACACCTTCATGATGTGGTCCACCTTGGCGTAGAGCTGCACGTTGGCCGACAGCCGGCACCACAGGTTGGAGCCCGGCCGCGCCAGCAGCCGCAGCGCAAACTCGCGCTGGAACATGAGGATGGCGCAGCGGAACAGGGGCCGGTGCGACAGGATCTTGAACACCAGCGGCGACGAGATCTGGTACGGCGTGTTGCTGATGCACACGTCGAAGTAGGGCAGGTCCGTCTTGACAAAGTCGCCAATCATGATCTCGAGCTTGCGCTGCTCGGGCCTAGAGGTGGTGGGTGGCGAGGCCGACCAGGGAAAGACGAAGGAAGGAAGGCGGAGATGGTCAGCCGCCTTTCACCTTGCCTCGCGGGGCTGCCTGGACGAAGTCGTTCGCCATTGCCCTCTGCCGCCAGCCCGCCAGCCCGTCAGCCAGCGCTCGTGAGTGGTGCAGGGTCAGAGGTAAAGGATAACGAGTTGGCCGCATTGCCGATTGAAGGTCGGCTCGTACGAAAGATGGTGATCATGTTAAATCATCACAGAGATGGGCGCAGCAGGGCGAGCAGGCGACCAGCGAGCATCGCCTCGAGCTGAGCTGGGCTGAGCTAGGCTGAGCTGGGCTGGGCTGGGCCGGATGGCAGACGGCGGGCGGCAGATGGAGTGCGGCGATGGCGACGATGGCTACTCACTTTCCCTGGACACGCTTGCTGAGCTCGGCGGCCATCCTGGGGTCCATTTCGACGACGGTCGTCTTTTTGGCCTTTTCGAGGATCCTCACGGTTAGGTTGCCGGTACCGGGGCCGACCTCGAGGACCATGTCGGTGGGTTTGAGGTTGGCCTTGTCGACGATGCTGGGCGAGGGGAACGGTGCACGGGCGGTGGACAAGCGATGCGAGACGATGATTAGCGAGGGTCGTCGCGGCTGCACAGTCGCACTGCCAAGACCCGCGCAACTCACCCCTGGGCGACGAGCGGGTTCTTGAGGATGTGCTGACCAAACTTGTCGGTGTTGAAGATGGGGTTCTTGGTGGTGGCGGACGAGTTCTGGTTGGAGCCGTGCTGGTCGCTCTTGGCGGCGGCGGGCCTGAGCGAGCCCGCCGAGAGGTCGTGCGACCTGGAGATCTTTGTAGACACCGCTCTCGGCATGGTTGCGGGCGACGTGGGAGGGTGGAAAGGGTGGGTGGAAGGAGGTGAAGGGAAGGGAGGAGAGGAGAGGAGAGGAGGGGATGAGAAGGGCGAAGGGAGGACGAGCCAGGGTGGTGGCACCAGAAGGGGCGGCCACCCTCCCGCTCTCCCGCCTGGAAAATTTGACTTTTTTTCGCCGGGTTGGCCGGCATCGCTGCGGATCCGAGCGTGACCAGCCCCCGCCAGCCTCGATCAAGGGCCAGCAAGAGCGGCCAGCCAAACCAGTCAGGCCAGCCAGGCCAGCCAGGATGGGACGCTGGGGCCACCCCGACCGGCCAGAGGGCTGCGCTCCGCCCGCTCGCAGCTTTCCTCCGCCCGCTGCCGACCCGCCGGCGGGCAACCAAAGGCAGGCCAGCCCACTCTCCACCACCTCGCCTCGTTCCTCAAACCTTCGCGCGACCTCCCACAACGCCGACCAGCCCCTCTCTGACCGTCGCTGCCGTCGTCGTGACCCCGGCTTCGTTGACGTTTAGACCGGCACAGCACCGCCCACTGCTCCCCCGCCTCGAAGCGCACATCATCGCCTCGAACACGCTGCTGCTCGCTCGGTCCGAACAACAACACCACCACCACCGCCACCTTCACCAGAGGTCGGCCCTGGATCAGCGACCGCCCACGCCCTCGCCCCGTACGCCCCGCCTCACCCGCCTGCCATGAGCCGCCCACGCTTCTTCAACGGGCCTCGCAAGGGCGAAAACTTTGAGCTCCGGGCCGACCTCAACTCCGAGTACAGGGATCGCCGCAAGGATGCCATCAAGCGCGTCATTGCCAACATGACCGTCGGCAAGGACGTCTCCGGCCTCTTTCCAGACGTGCTCAAAAACATGCAGACAGAGGACATCGAGCAGAAGAAGCTCGTCTACCTCTACCTCATGAACTACGCAAAGACTCAGCCCGAGCTCGTCATCCTCGCCGTAAACACCTTTGTCAAGGTGAGCACCTCGCCGCCGCCGCAGTCGTCTTGCCCAGGGCTTAGGCTGCTGACGTCGCTGCCTCCAAACCCCGTTCTGCTCTTTCCTCGCATCGTTCAACCCCGCCTCGCCCCGCGCAGGACACCGAGGACGCCAACCCGCTGATCCGAGCGTTGGCCATCAGGACCATGGGCTGCCTGCGCGCGGAAAAGATCATCGACTACCTCTCCGACCCGCTCGAAAAGGGCCTCCGCGACGACAACCCCTACGTGCGCAAGACGGCCGCCATCTGCGTCGCCAAGCTCTACGACCTCAAGCCCGAGCTCGCCGTCGACCGCGGCTTTGTCGGGCTGCTCAAGGACATGGTCGGCGACAGCAACCCGATGGTCGTCGCCAACGCCGTCACCGCCCTCACCGACATCCACCAGACCGCGCTCGAGACGGATCCATCGGGCAGCTCGGCCATCTTTGTCATCGACTCCGACGTCCTCACCAAGCTCCTCATCGCGCTCAACGAGTGCACCGAGTGGGGCCGGATCGCCATCCTCAACTCGCTCGCCCGCTACAAGAGCCGGGACGAAAAGGAGGCCGAGCACATCTGCGAGCGCGTCATGCCCCAGTTCCAGCACGCCAACGGCAGCGTCGTCCTTGGCGCCGTCAAGGTCATCATGATCCACATGGCCAAGGTGCGCAAGGACGACTTTGTCAAGCAGCTCGTCCGCAAGATGGCGCCGCCCCTCGTCACCCTCATCTCGTCGGCGCCCGAGGTGCAGTGGGTCGCCCTCCGCAACATCAACCTCGTCCTCCAGAAGCGGCCCGACATTCTCTCGAGCGAGCTGCGCGTCTTCTTCTGCAAGTACAACGACCCTTCGTATGTCAAGCTCGAGAAGCTCGAGATCATGATGAAGCTCGCAAACGAGCGCAACGTCGACATGCTCCTCAGCGAGCTCAAGGAGTGGGTTCTTCCGCCCGGCGTGGCATCGATGAGAGGTCGAGACGACATGGGAGTCTGTGCTGACCTTGCCTCGCCCCGCCCCGCCACGCATCTTGCACGTTGCCTTTTATCCCTGCCCCCGTTCTACTCCTCCTCCGCACCCCAGGTACGCCTCGGAAGTCGACGTCGACTTTGTCCGCCGGGCGGTGCGGGCGATTGGTCAGTGTGCCATCAAGATTGACGCCGCCGCGGAGCGATGCGTCCACGTGCTGCTCGACCTGATCGCCACGCGCGTCAGCTACGTGGTCCAGGAGGCCGTCGTGGTGATCAAGGACATCTTCCGCAAGTACCCATCCAACTACGAGGGCATCATCCCGACGCTATGCTCCAACCTCGAGGACCTCGACGAGCCCGAGGCCAAGGCGTCGCTCATCTGGATCCTGGGCGAGTACGCCGAAAAGATCTCCAACTCGGAGGAGCTGCTTGCCCTCTTCCTCGACAACTTCACCGAGGAGCCGTACCAGGTCCAGTTCCAGACGCTGACGGCCATCGTCAAGCTCTTTCTCAAGAAGCCCGACGGCCAGGCGCAGACCATCGTCCAGCAGGTGCTCGAAAAGGCGACGAAAGAGTGCGAGAGCCCGGATATCCGGGACCGGGCGTTTATCTACTGGCGGCTGCTGTCGAGCTCGGACTCGAATGCCGGAAAGGTGAGTAGTAGCCGCGCGGCAACAACGTGCTGCGATGGCGTGGCTGGAAGGGACACGGCTCTGCATGCAGTCTCCTTTAGGACCGTTCAAACTGACGCTTCCGTGCCTTTCCGTCGCCCGTCTCGATGCCAGTCGGTCATCCTTGCGCAAAGACCGCCAATCTCGATCCCGCTGACAAGCGTCCCGCCAGCGCTGCTCGACGAGCTCATCTCGGACCTATCGTCGCTGGCATCGGCCTACCACAAGCCGGAGTCGACCTTTATCGGGCGCGGGCGTCTCGGTGCGGACGGCATCAAGGCGCGGGCAGACGCCGAGGACGACATCACGCGCGAAAAGGCGCTGGCGACGGTGGTCCAGGGACAGAAGAGCGAAAACCTGCTCGACTTTGGCGACGACGACGAGGCCTTGCCTGCGGCGACGGGGGCGGGAGCGGCGAGCGGTGCCGGTGCGCTCGGCGGGCTCGACGACCTCATGATGGGCGCGAGCATCTCTGGCAGCGGCGGGTCGGCGGCGACGAGACCGGGCGCGGCGGCATCAGCAGGGGCCGGACAGCTCAACGACCTGCTCGGCCTGTAAGTCGAGCATGCCGTGCGACGCGCACCTTACAGTAGGGCACATGTGCGTTGGTGCTGACCGATCCCCTCACTTACGTCTCGACAGGTTCGACTCTGCACCTGGCGCCGAGGTGCCCGGGGCGCAGTCGGGCGTCGAGGCGCTCGGCTCGCTACCCGTCATGTCGGCGACGGCAGCCTCTCCGCTCAGCGGCGGCGGCGGCTTCGCATCGCCGGGCATCTTCTCTCCCAACCCGACAGGGACCGCCGCCAACGGATCCGGCAACGCCAAACCGCCTGCGACAGCACCACCACAGCAGAACGACGACCTGCTGGGCCTGTTTTAGACGCCATTCCGAGATGCCGCTAGCGCAGCCGTGGCATCGCCAATGCCACATCGCCGACCGGTCATTTTCGCGCTTCATCCATGGCCGACGCCTGTGCCGAATGGCGCCGGAAGCGCCGACGAGAGCCGCCACGATGGTGGCCTGGAAGAAGAGGGAAGAGGGGAAGCGGCACAAGGATTCGCGAAGACGCAGCGTGGGAAGCGGATATGATACAAGGGGCTCAAGGTGAAAGGGGAGGCCGCGCGATGTCGGCAGGGCTGTGCCGGGCATCGACGGACGGTGCGACCGCTGGCTGCCTAGACGGACAGCTCGGCCTTCTGGGCCGAGTTGATGGTGGCCTGGTAGGGCTCGAGGGCGGGCTTGACCCACTTTTCGAGGAAGCTGTCGACCTGCTGAGGCGCCCTTCCGATGAAGCTCTTTGGGTCGAGGAGCTCGTCGAGGCGGTCGGCGATGGGGTTGAAGTAGTTGTCGCCGCGGATGCGCTCGATGAGGTCGTTTTCGCCGCCCTCTTCCTTGACGACGCGGGCGGCCTGGTGCGAGAGGACGCGGATGCGCTCGTGGCACTCCTGCCGGTCGCCGCCGGCGCGCACCATGGCCATGATGACGTTTTCGGTGGCCATGAAGGGCAGCTCGCCGGCGATGCGGCGCGAGATGATGGCCGGGTAGACGACGAGGCCCTCGGAGATGTTCTGGAGGATGGTGAGGATGACGTCGGTGGTGAGGAAGGCCTCGGGGATCGACAGGCGGCGGTTGGCCGAGTCGTCGAGGGTGCGCTCCATCCACTGCGCGCCGGCCGTCTCGCGGGCCGACGAGACGCAGTTGCCGAGCCAGCGGGCGAGGCCGCAGACGCGCTCGGAGCGCATCGGGTTGCGCTTGTAGGCCATGGCGCTGGATCCGATCTGGTCCTTTTCAAAGGGCTCCTCGATCTCCTTTAGGTGGCAGAGGAGGCGGATGTCGGTGGCCATCTTGAGCGCCGAGGCCGAAAACGAGGCGAGCGGGTTGAGGACGTCGATGTCGACCTTGCGCGAGTAGGTCTGGCCCGTGACGGGCATGGCGTAGGGGAAGCCAAAGAGGGCCGTGACGCGCTCGTCGAGGGCCTCGACCTTGTCGTGGTCGCCGTCAAAGAGCTGGAGGAACGAGGCCTGGGTGCCCGTGGTTCCCTTTACGCCGCGGAATCCGAGGTCGTCGCGGGCGCGCTTGAGGTTGCGGAGGTCCCAGAGGAGCTCCTGGATCCAGAGGGTGGCGCGCTTGCCGACCGTGGTGAGCTGGGCGGGCTGCATGTGGGTGAAGCCGAGGGTGGGGAGGTCGCGGTAGCGGCGGGCAAAGGCGGCGAGGCGGTGGATGACGAGGGCGAGCTTGGGGAGGAGGAGGTCGAGGCCGCGGCGGAGGAAGATGAGGTCGGCGTTGTCGGTGACGTAGCACGACGTGGCGCCGAGGTGGATGAAGCCGGCGGCGGCGGGGGCGACGACGCCAAAGGTGTGGACGTGGGCCATGACGTCGTGGCGGCGCTTCTTCTCCTCCTCTGCGGCGAGCTTCATCTGGGCGTCGTCGAGGGTGAGATTGTTGCGCATCTGCTCGATGGCCTCGTCGGGGATGTCGAGGCCGAGCTCCTTTTCGGCAATGGCGAGGTTGAGCCAGAGCTGGCGCCAGGTGCCGAAGCGGGTCTGTGTGCGGGGTGTCAGAGAGAGGAGGAAGGGCAAGGCCATGGGGCCAGGTTCAGCTGGATGCCGGGCCAGGGTGGTCGCCGCCGTTGCTGCCGTGGGCCGACGGCGGAGCAAGGGGCACTCACGGCGTTGGAAAAGAGGTTGGACATTTCCTTGCTGGCGTAGCGAGCCGAGAGGGGCGACTGCCAGCTCTCAAACGACGACGACGACATGGCGGCGGGTAAGAAGGGGTTGGTGGTGGAGGAAGCGGTGGAGGTGGTGGTGGTGGTGATTGTGACGGTGGCGGTGGCGGTGAGGGTGCTGGTCGAAGTCGAGGTGAGCGACTGCGAGCGTACCAAGGGTTGAAAAAAAAGAGAGGAGCGTGCGCCTGTGCAGCGAGTCACTCGCAGGTAGGAAGAAAGCTTGCCTGCCAAGTCGGGGCAGGGCCAGCCACAACCTCGAGCCTGCCTGGCCCTGCCTGACCCACCCGACGCCCGACGCCCGAGTGAGCCCGCCCGCACCCTCACCGCGGCCCAAACGTGGGGTCCCGAGTTGAGAAATTGCGGAAACCGGAAAAGCACGCCTCCCCGGACACTCGCCCGTCGGTCTGGCCCGCGCAATTGGCCGGCGGGCGCCCCTGCCCTCTTGATGGAAATTTGTCGGTGGACCCCGCCGCCGGCTCGGCCTGGCTTCCGACCCTGCCTGCTGCAAAGTCAAGAGCGAGGTTGTTGGTCTAGCCGGTCCTTGCTGGGCTGATCCTGCCTCTCGCTCCCTGCCACCACCACGATCACCAGCGCCACCATCATCAACCCACGTCCTCTGCTGCCCGACCCTCTTTCTCTCCTTTGTCTCTCTCCCATGCCGGCTCTCGGTAATCCCTGTACCGCCACGTCCATCGCCCCCGCCACGTCGCCGTCTTCATCTACCAGCCCGCCGCCGCCGCCGCCACAATGGAGCTCAAGATCCTGAGCGCCACCTCGCCCGACCTCTTCCTCCAGCCCAGACCGCGCTCCTCGCCATCCCAGGACGACCACGAGCGCGATCCCTCGGCCTACCTCCAGGTCATCATCCAGCTCAGCATACCAAAGGACTCGACACCCCCCGCAAAGCTCCTCTCGCTCAACGTCTCGCTCGTCGGATACGAGAGCATCGGCTTCCCGCGCGGCGGTTTCGAGCAGAACCAGCCCTACTGCAGCAAGGTCGCCATCCCCGAGGCCGCCGACCTCAGGCTCGAACCCGGCTCCCTCTACCAGTTCGAGACCACCTTCGCCGTCGACCACAACACCGCTCCCTACCAGCGCGGAAAGTATGGCAGGCACCACCAAAAGGTCCACGTAAAGGCCACCTTTCCGGGCCTCTTTGGCAAAAAGACGCTCGACGCCGAGCGCAACTTCTTCTTCATTCAGACCGTCATGCAGTCCGGATCCCTCCCCTACTACTACGTCCACCGCAGCGCCGCAGACGCCCTCGGCCCCATCTTCTTTGGCGTCCGCACACAGCACCTCACCGTCGGCGGCTACCTTCGCATCACCTTCAGCCTCGCCTCGGCCAGCCCGACGGTGCGCCTGCACAGCCTCAAGCTCGCCCTGCTCCAGCAGACGACGCTCAAGTCGCGCGTCAGGCGCAACTACGCCGAGCAGCCTCCGCTCGAGCGCTTCCCCTTTTTCGAGGCTGGCGACGAGGAGCTGGGCGCCTGCATCACCGCGCCCACCGCGGACGGCTCACCCGACGGCCAGGACGCCACCCTGCGCGAGGGCAACTGGATCGCCAGGCTGCCGTCCGACTCCGAGGCGCGGGCGTCGTCGCTGCCCGGCGGCGACGTGGCAATCCACATGGCCCACGCCCTCGAGCTCGTCATCCAGTACTCGGATCCGACGGTGCACGACGGCGAGGTGCAGACCTACCGCGCCTCGTGGGGCCTCATCCTGCCCTCGTGCGCGTGCCGGTGGCAGTCGATGCGGCTGCCCTCGTACACGACCCACGACTCGAACCCGGTGCCCAAGACGTCGCGCGACTTTTGGACGGGCCGCAACGAGCACGAGTCGCACAGCCAGTGCGTCTGCGGCGAGACGCTCGAGACGCTGCTCCAGTTTGAGGAGGAGGCGAAAAAGGCAAAGGAGCCCGAGGCCGAGAGCGAAATCTGGAGGCAGATGCTCGACATGCGCCTCCAGCAGCGCCTGGCCATGGCCGCCAGGGGGAGAAACGGCGGCCGGAGCGTCAGCAACTCTCCCGCCGTGTCGCGGGACATTTCGCGGCGCAACTCGCACGAGGACGTGCGGCCGTCGTCGTCGTCGTCGTCGCAGCCGGGCACACCGTCGGGTGGCGCTGCTGGCACTGCTGGCGGGGAGCAGCGCGGACGGACGGGCAGCCGGCTGGTGGACCAGGTGCGGCTGGGCCTGCTCGACGACGAGGACGAGCTCGAGTTTGAGCTGCAGGCGCGCGAGCTGCTCGAGGGCCTCGAGGGACAGCAGTGGCAGCGCGAGTGGGACCGTCTGCAGGAGCAGAGGCAGCGCCGGGCAAAGGCGCGCAACGAGTACATCAACCTCGCAAACGCCCGCGCCGCCCAGGACGCCGCCGGCAGCGGCCCCGCGTCGAGGTCGGCGTCGCGCAGCC